CTTTACAGTGTTAATTAAATGTAAGTATAGTAATGCTATTTAGGAACTAGGCTAAATATATAGGGATAATTAAAGCTAGGTATCAATAAAGCTATTTAAGTAGACTTTAAAAGTTTGAAGGTCTTTTGCTTCACGAATTTCTTGGGGCAATTCATTCCAGTCATTGCTGGCAAAATTGACCGTTGTCCAATGTCCCCATTTATGTCTCGCCGCTGATTTACGTATGTTACACTTAGACCTAGTGTTATAAGCATGCATATCCTGATGATATGTGATTTCAAAATTATAAGAGAAAAGATTATTCTTACATTTATAAATCAATATCAAACGGTTAACAATCCTCCTGGTCTTTAGATCTTTCCAAGCCAACTTCTTCAAAGCAGAACTGGCTGACGATCCATAATCCAGGTCCAAAATTATACGTGCTACCTTATTTTGTAAGATTTGTAAATCTGCCATAAGGGTTTCATTCCCTCTGTCTCCCCATACTGTGTCAGCATAGTCAAAAGATGGCAAAATATAAGAATTATAAAATAATATTCTACTATGTAACGGTAAATAGTTCTTAATACGCTTTAGTAGTCCCAGCTTCTTATTAATCTTAGATTTAATAGATTCGATTGAAATCAGATTTTGTTGCAAGTTGCAGCAATTTAAAACGTAGAAAACAACAAATGAACGGCCATGCTCAACATGTGACAGCATTGGAATCACAAGGTAACAAAACATGCGCACACTTTATGTATATTATATTTTCCGAATATTATAGATCGAACACTGCGGAAAAACGTCTGCGCATGCGTCACCCTTACACAAATTTGCCTTGCGAGCTTGGTGTCAAGAACACCGCGGAAAAACGTCTGCGCATGCACCAAATTATGAAAATATGGCGGGGAATTTGAATATCAATTTCTAAAACAAAAACATGCTTATTAATTGGTCAAAAATTAGTAAAACAAACGAGAAAATAATAGCAAATGGGTAGACTAGACATTAATTGAAAGCCTCCTGCCATTTAAAGTATGGAATGAAATATAATTCATGTAAAAAATTGTTGATTTTAACGGACACGACCTCGAAAATTTTTGCAAAATTATTCAAAACAAAAATTCAAACTAAAAAGTTAAGAAAACTCTCGAAAAGTTAAGCTTCTTAACCCACTTAAAATGTAGAATAAACCCTAAAGTTTAATTATTGTGAACACGAAAATTTTTTATATTTGGCGACACAGTTTTTTTTAAAGAAATGTATCTCAAACGAAAATTCGGTAATGGTCGTTGTTTAGTTGATAAACAAAATGTTTCAGACGACAAAATTTGTCAACAATCACCTTTAGTTTATGTTCTTGTACAATACAATTTCTTGAACCTTCTGGCTGTATTTATTCCTAGCTTTTAGAATGACATGTTTATTTTTGCGCTCGAAATCTGGCTGTAAAGACGCACAATGAAGTCACTCCTTTTTACCGCCATTTTGAGCCTTCGCAAACGTTCGGAACAGCTTCTCATCAAGTTCGCAACACTATTACAGGTAAGGACGCATGCGCAGACGTTTTTCCGCGGTGTTGGTGTCAAGTGTTCCGAAGGTTGTCAAAAACTCAAAATTGGAGCGACTTCGATGTTTTGCCTTTTTTGTGAAAATGCAAGCGGAATAATGAATGTAACAAGCTAAAAACTAGAAATAATCACAGTCTACATGTGGAAGTCTGCAAGAAGTAGTGTTATGCAAGAAACCAAAGGTGACTGTCGATGCTGCAGACGTTTTTCGGTGGCGTGATTAGATCGGCTTTAAGATGTTTTCAGCAAATAATTAAGTTTATTGAATGTTTAATAACTACCTCGAAAAACATTGATTTACCATGACGTATTTATAACATATATTGATCTCAAGATTATATATATATACAGGTCTAAATTCTAGATAATGAGCCTCGTAATTAATGCTAGAACTTTACTTTTCTAGCAATAAGCCAAACCTTTACTGACCACACCTAGAAATAATGAGTAGCTCGCCTCGTGAATTAATATCAACTAGGATATATAGGACTCCTGAGTTGTGTTCGTAGCAACTGTCCCCAGCTCTGTTATAGCCATGACAACCATGGCAAATTTAAATTAAATGAAATCAAGGGTTAAAAGATTTCAAGATTAACTGAACCAGAAAGCGTTCAATCAATCTGCGGGCTTTACGGCACAAAAGAACAAGGAACTGCAACGATATTAGGGTACCATTGTGAGTTCCTGTGACACACGTCACAGCGCCGTGGGGCATGGGCCTAGAACAAGATGGCGGACAGTCAGCCTGTTATTATTTTATATTCTTAGCTCTTTTGTGTATGTTTCAGTGTTGCTCTCTATTACAGCAAATCGTAACAGGAGTATTTTGCATTGGGACCAGATAAATAAAGCCAAAAAGAGCATATAGGAAACAAGGGAACATATATAGGGTGAAGTTTGTGTGGGGAAAAGGAAACAAAGGAAAGTTTACATGCAAGACACACTGAAAGCAGGGGCATAGCCAGCCCTAAATTATGAGCGTGTGGGGGCTAATCATCTGGCCATCGGGAGAAAATGTCTCTATTATTAGGGTCTGCGATATTTATGAATGACCATGAATATACTATAGCTAGTTCCTTGTTATTGCGCCACATTTTACTTATTATTATAACTAACTGCATGCAGGAAAGCCTGATACTTAATAGTTGACATACAGTCTTTATCTCTGCCCGTTGAGCAGAAGGATGGCTTGAAAATCTGGGCCAATATGGATAAACTTCGTTTTGGCGATTTTTTGAGATTAATAATCGCCGATTTTCGCCGTTGATTTTTTAAATGAATACCAAAGCTAGCATTTAATAAGAAAGAGAAACAAAGGATGGATTAACAATATTTCAAATTATTAAATCTTAAATAATTCAGCTTTAATAGCCGTTTTCGGCATTCGTCTTTATACAGTATCTCTTCACTATATATTCACATTTTAATATGCATACCCTACGAAAATAAATAATAATTAATATCTAATAATGATATTTTATCATATGGCAAGAAAAAAGCATTTAAATTTTTAAAGTATGACAAAACTTAGTATCTCACTTCGTATGCTGGGGCCGATTGTAACTCTTAGTAACTTCTTTAATCACTATTTTGTAGTTAAATAGTGATTAACTCTCAAATACGCGCTTCTTATTGGATGACGTTTTCCACTAACTATAGTTAACTTTAATCACTTTTTTATACAACCGGCCCCTGGTATCTAAATTTTCTGATGAGTGCATGTTTGCTGCAGTAAATATATATATATATAATCGCCGTTTATACTAAATGCGTTAGCATTTATATCACTGCAACTTATATTAACTACATATATGCGTGTATATCATGAAATATAATAACCAAGTAAGATAAACCTACTTCAAATGACCTTTTCCCTGCACAGTTGCATATCTTTGTCATGCATAACTATTAATACTATGTTTCTGATTCAGAAATAATGAACCACAAGTGGCCTCTATATACTTCATTATCTTCATTCAATGGCTCCCAGCGGGTATCTTTTTCCGCCGCACGTGTTAGGCGCCAATAACAATGACGCCTTTAATATTTGAAATTAATATAATTCGACCAATGAGAGATCGAACTGGATGTTTGAATGATGCACACAACTTATGATGGTTAACGGATTTTTTGACCAGATGCGTGGGTGGACACGATTGTAAGACTGACTTTGTTTCCTCTGCGGAGGCATCAGTTACAAAATTTCCACTTCAGATTTTGTGATTTTCCTCATCTCACCACGTTGTAGAACTACACTCACTGGCAGCAAATTACTTTTTATTATTAATAAGTGCAAGTTTTGAGAATTCAGTGCACTTCGTTCGATAGAACTAGTATTAGATAAACATCAATTTCTATAGACTATTAGAACTAACCTGGAGCAGTTGCTAGGAATACAACTATAAGCCATCTGGCAGCTGTCGAATCTGCTCAGCAACTGAACTCTGTAGCCCAGTTTGTAAGAGCTCTGTACCGGAAATTCAAGTTGCAGATTCCTGCTTGTGGTGTATTGTTGCATTTTTCGCAAAGGTTGCTGGTTAGATCTATAAAAGTGCATAGATTCGAACCTGCCAGCTATATACTCCTGAATCAATGTGTGTAATTTGAACTCCGTACAGAGGAGAAAGATTTCCTTGACAAGTGTCCTAGACAAGTTTAATTTCTCGTGTGTACGATCAACCAGTTTTCTTTGACAAGTTTTGTTATCGTGTGCACGGAATGCTATTAATTAAACGTTTATCTCACGTCAAGGCGACTTTTGTTCGCCAAAACTTAACCATGCACATATTTCTTGTACACTTTTCAAGTTTTCTCGGCAGCCGTACATAGCTACAACAAAGTTCTCCTTGTCCAAAACTTGTTACGACTAGCTTTGTAACAAGGCTCCTTGACAAGATAAAATTGTCAACTTTTTGCTGTACACACGAGCAAATAAAACTTGTCAAGGCAAACTTGCTCGTCTGTAGGGATCTTTACACTCAAAATTTCCATCTACATAATCTTGCTATGTTAGTTCAATCGAGTGAGATGCCAAAAAAAACTCATATTCAAGTAAAAACCCTATTTTCAGTCGATCCCAAGGTTCTCAATTTATTAATTAATGTAAATTAAGAATAGTATATTAATTCCAGTGAAACCCTAGGCCTTTTGTGAACAGGAAAACGCTAACAGTGTAAATACTTATTAAAAAGCGCTTGAACTGATTATGAACGGGTTCTAGTTATATGATGTCGGGCCAAAGGAGATCTTTGCTTATTTAGAATGGGAACCGATTGAAAACATCCTAAAGAAAAGGAAGATATTAAGCATGACGTTTAAAGCATTAAAATTATAGACAACTAACTATATATTCTGATATAATATCAGACATGCTTACTATATTAGTATTACCATGCAACAACGCCACGCATCGTCTTAGAAGCAACGACCGAAAACTTCACTATAAACAAACCTAATACTGATTTAATGAAAAAGTCCTTCTCATATAGGGCAGCGTTTGCATGGAACAACTAGCCTTGTGATGTAGTTTCTGATTAATAATCTCTCTCTGTTCCAAAATTTAAAAAATTAATTAATAACTATTTCAAGAATTTGGAAGATTACAATTGACAATATCTTCACGACAATATAAGTCATTTCATGACCATGTTTGAGTTTTATACGGAGTTTGCGCCTGTGGACATGCATGTCGATTCATAAAACTTGTATGATTGTGTTGTTTGTGTATATATTTTTATAGTAACTTTTAAAATTGATAATTTTGTAAATTGAAACGGCCCCTTGAAAATCGGACTTTGGATGAAGGGCTACCGTTTTAAAATAAATAAATAAACTAGCGAGTAAAACAATCTTGACAATGGTATTACACGTCTGAAGACTCTGTACTTAGTATATATGTGGCAT